ATACAAAGTATCTTTATCTGATGGTTGTTACTGTGTACTTTCAAGTTGCTTCCTACTTAGAAGATCAGCTGCTGTCCTCTCCTTTTTGCCTTGTCTTTTATCCATGTTGTAGTTTGAAATGATCATATGACTGGTCAAATTAATAAATTATTATTATTATTAAGTTGCTTCCTACTTCCAGCAACTCTAAAGTGAACCTATCATGAGATTTTCTAGACAAGATTTGTTTAGATTTGCCAGCCCTTCCTCCAAGGCTGAGAGTGAAACTTGCCCAACGTTACATGGTGGGTTTCTGTGGTGCAGCAGAGATTCAAACCCTAGTGTCTGAAGTCCTAGTCCAACACTCAAAGCTACCATACCACTCTTGTTGGAAATAGCAACCATCTCAAACCTCCACTAGTTATTTGTTATGTATATAACTGCTTACTGTATTGTACATGTTCTATTGATATACAATTTGACCTCAACTCTTTGTTGTGGGAGAGGCTGCAGACCATGTGATCAGAACTGGACATGTTTTATTTATTTATTATTTATTTACTATATTTGTATACCGCCCTTCTCAGCCCTCAGGTGACTCAGGGCGGTTTATGTTCAGGACTCAGACTTCATGTTAGAGAGTTATGCTTCAGACTTCAGTAAGATGTATGCTTAGAGACTCCATTGGACATAGTGACTAGACAGAGACTCTATTAGACTCTCAGAACAGAGAAATGTTTTGGACTATGGACTATTGTTTCCAACAATGATGCCCTACACAGAAAATTACTTAAAATCTTATTGTAACTGGATTGATAAGCAAAGTACCTGTATGCTGAATACATGAAGTTTGTGAGTAAACCAACTATATTACTTTTAAAGAATACTGTTTATTTTTGCCGCTTAACAGCATAATTTAAAGGCAAATATATTTTAAGGGAGAGTAGATTTTGGGGGGGCAACTAAAAAGAACACTTCTGAAACTCTGCTGAATATATATATGTTTGTGACAAGTGGTTTTCCAAAAGGTTATGAATCCCATTTCCCAAATGGTTATGGAGAGTGACATTTTCCAAAAGTTCTGGCTCTGCCTACCTGCCTGAAAATGTCAATTTTACAAAACTTTTCTTGATGGGTGGAAGGCAGAAGAGCTGAAATGTTTCATGGCAATCTTTTGACCTCTTTCTAAAGCCATTGGTCATAACAGAAAGGGGCATGCTTGCTTAGCTGTTTCTCTGGAAAGGAGTTACAATGCTAATGCATGCCCCATATTCTGGAATTGGTTTGGTGTCTTTCCCCTATGAAAATATATATCCATTCCCCCTTGTTCCTGGATTCTTACATTATGAAAAGGGATCCACCAGGCACTGGAATTAGACACAGCCATGGGACAAACAGTGGCTAGTCCCTGAGACGACTAGTGAGGAGTTGGTGAAAGGGCCCAAGAGGCTTGCATTCTTCCTGGATATGCCCAGTACTTTTAGCTTAATTCAAAGGCACGGTGACCTTCCATATGCGATAAATGCAAACATGGAAAGCTGAGAACATTTTGTCATAACTAAAGAGAATGCAAACATTACAACTCCTTGATCCTCTGGGGATACAAGTTGCTTTTTCTCCTCCCTACATACTCTACTAATATGAAATGAAACAGAGATCAATAACTGAGAAAACTATAAAGGCAGAATATTGCAACAGTGAAGTACTTAGGGGAGAGCATTTCTGGAGTGAGGAGACAGGCTAAAAGCTGCACAAGGGAACACAAGAGAATGTAGTGAATAGATTAAAAATAGGCTAGGGAAACACATCAGCTACACGTTTCACAGATATAGAGTCTCTTATAGGAATGTATACCTAGCTGCTGTGGTCATGCATAGATTGCTCCAAAGTCAACATGTTCCATAGGGTGAGAGCAAGTTTATGTGACTACCAGAGGATGGAAACTGTACTTTTGGGTGATGCCATTTCTAGTATCCACAACTGCATAGCTTTGGGATTCTGGGTACTGATGTAATCAAAAATATTCCAAGGATCAGATAATTACAACACATCCCATATAAAAGCTATATAGATTCTAGCTGGCTGTATGGCTACATAAATAAAGTCTAGACTTGGTACTGTATGGCAGTTTAAAAGAAGAGCACAAATGGAATTAACAAATGCATGCAGTGTAGGCAAATGCATGGCAAAGGAGGTGGATGTCCTACCCACATAGATGGAGAGAAAGTTCAAAGACAGTCTAGTATGGGCAAACTTGGGCCCTCCAGGTGTTTTGGACTTCAACCCCCACAATTCCTAACAACCTCAGGCCCTTTCTTCAGCTGAAGCAGCTGAGGGGGAAAAGGAAAGGGCTCGAGGCTGTTAGGAATTGTGGGAGTCGAAGTCTAAAATGTTGTAGGATGTAAAAGTAAATAAACAGAAGCTTTACCACAGTTTCTGAACCAAAATATACCCCGCAGTATAATAAAGTGTCACTCGGGCTTGTGTAACAAGTAACAGTATCTTTACTTCCGTTCAAAAGATCAAACAGGGCAACAATATATTCAGCAGTCTCTCTGAATTCACACAGAGAACAGAAGGAATCAACAGTCTTTAAAATATGCTTCATGCCTTAGAAATGATCAGGTTTCAGAGAGTTGGCAGCCATTTCCTTCCTGGCTGTTTCCAGTCAGCGCTCTCTTCACTCTCTCAGGTGAAAATGGCAGTTAAAACCGTTTCTCTCAGCAGGAAGCCAGAAACAGTAGCCAATCAGAACTCCTGGCATGTTCAGCCAATCAGCTGCTGGCACACGCCTTTCCAGTCAACCCATCACATCACGGTGCCTTTTTAGAAATCCCCACACAAAACACATGGAAGGCCAAAGTTTACCCATGCCTGGTCCAGTGGAAAATAATGAGTGGAAGGGGGTAAGGAAAGTCTGGTAAGTCTGTAGTATACTCATTGCACTTACTGCATTTTGGTTTAAACAATGCAACATGTCCCATGAAGTGCACAATTCAGAAGCATGAAGGTCCAGATTTGTCTTTCATGAAAAACTCTGTCCATTCAACATCTATACACATAAGCACAAGTTCTTAAACACAATCAAACCCCATGGCATGTCCTTGTGAATAAACAAGCTTACAATTTCATCACACAGGATGAGGAAATAGTTGTAGAATGTGACCGGCAGCTGCATTAAACTAAACACATGTCCACTTCAATGAGTTTTCTAAAACAGAGTCCACTGACCAATGGTCTGCGTAGATACATTGTATTGACACACAGACCTACTTTAACACAAACACATTTTTTGCTGCAGCTTCTACTGCAATTCATTTTGTCTCTCTGTACTAAGTGTCAGAGTGCCCAAGGGATGTGACACACTCAGAAAGTCACTGCCATGGACACAAACAGACATGCAGAGAAGAGGGACAAATATCCCCACTCCCATCATTACTGAGTGACCATACACATACATACACACATATATAGAGTAAAAAAGTAAAGGTTTGCCCTGACTTTAAGTCTAATCGTATCTGACTTTGGGGGGTGGTGTTCATCTTCATTTCTAAGCCAAAGTGCCGGCGTTGACCATAGACACCTCCAAGGTCATGTGGCCAGCATGACCACATTCAGCACTATTTACATACATATAAAACGGTGCCCATTGTTAAAAGGGCCTTATATATGTATGTGTGTGTGTGTGTGTATGTGTATATATATATATGTGTGTGCGTATATATATATCCAACTCTGCGGGGTGGTGTTCATTTCCATTTCTGCCACATGACCTTGGAGGTGTCTATGGTCAAAGAGCCCACATTGACCATAGACACTTCCAAGGTCATGTGGCAGCATGACCGCATTGAGCAGCACCATTATAAATATATATATCACACACATATGTATGTATGTATGTATGTATGTATGTATGTATACCTGACTCTGCGGGATGGTGCTCATCTCCATTTCTAAGCTGAAGAGCTGGCATTGCCCATAGCAAGCCCGTAGCCAGGATTTCGATTCCGGGGGGGGGGGGGGGGTGAATTTTTTCAGGGGGGGTTTGGGGGGGGCTGAGTTTTGGGGGGGGGGGGTGAGTCTGAGTGAAAGAGGGTCTACCCTAGCAAACCTTTTGTATCATTACCCCAATACCCCCATGCATATGGGATATATTGAGTATGGTGATCAGATCATGATATGAATAAACATAACAGTTTAAATAATGCACCAGTAAGGCCTTTTCGGAACCACCATGAGAATTTCGGGGGGTGGGGGGCTGAAGCCCCTCAAGCCCCCCCCCCCCGGGCTACATGCCTGGCCCATAGACATCTCCAGGGTCATGTGGACAGCCTGATTGCATGGAGTGACCCCCCCCCCATATATATAAAATGGTGACCATTATTTACGGGGCTATATGTGTGTGTGTGTTCTATATATATTGAATCATAAAGTTGGAAGAGATGTCAAGAGCCATCTAGTCCAACCCCCTACCATGCTGGAACGTGTGATCAAAGCACTCCTGACAGACACCCATCCAGAAGAAGCTTGCCCCCTCCTCAATGTGGCATCCTTTCAAATACAGAAACTTAGCTGTCATGTCCCCTCTCAAACTTCAAGCATCCCAGGTCATTGGCAACCCACACGAGGTTCACACCAATATGGAGAAAGTTCCTTTTGGCAGAGTACAACTTGCAGAACCCGCCAATCATCACCATCAGCACCCCTCAAAGAAACTCCTGGACACATGCTGTCCCAAGCTGTGCAGGAAAGAACCGGGAGGAGGAATGAGGGCCAAGGCACTCAAAGCAGGGATTGCTTTTGGCTATGAGGCGAGAGGAGACCTCGCCAAGACTATGGGATGGTGAGTCCCTTGGGCGCAACTTGGGCGAAAGTCTTGCGGCTTCCCCTCCAGGCCACCTTGGAGCTTCAAGGTGAGCTGGAGGCAGCCCGGGAAGCCCAGAGAGAGAGAGAGAGAGAGAGAGAGAGAGAGAGAGAGAGAGAGAGAAGTGCCCCCCCCCCCGAGTCCCCGAGCCCTTCACCTGCCAGCCGCCTCTCCCGCACGTTCCTCCAGAGTAAATCCCAAGCCTTGGCCGTGGACTCCCGGAATTGCTCGCTGAAGGAGCGCCGGAGCTGAGCCTTGTCCGCTCGCCGCTTCCTGCCGCTCATTCTCCTACCCGCTTTTGCCCCGCATGCCGCCTGCCCCGCTCAATCCGGACGCAAGACCGACCCGAAGGCGCTCAGCAGCCGCAGGAGGAGCGGCAGAGGTGGCAGAGAGCGCGCTGGCAAAGCCCCCTCCCCTCCCGGGCCGGAGGGAGAGGAGAGGAGAGGAGAGGAGGGGAGAGAGAGGCCAATCCCCGGGGTGGGGTGAGCGGGAAGACCCTGCAGCCCGCTCCCCGGAGGCTCAAGGGCTCTTTCCCCGCTTATCCGCTCTAACAGCCCTTCTTCTCCTTCCTCCGTCCCAAAGGCTCAGCTAGACTCATCACAGACTCAAAGAGACCCCACATGCCGTCCAATCCAGCCCCCTCCTGCCATGCAGGAAGACTAAACGCACCCCACACAGATGCCCTCTGTTTAAAAGCTTCCAGGGAAGGAGGCTTCCTCAAACTCCAAGAGAGCATGCTCCACTGTGGAACAGTTCTCACTCTGGGTTGTTGTAGGTTTTTTGGGCTATATGACCATGTTCTAGAAGCATTCTCTCCTGACGTTTCATCTGCATCTATGGCAGGCATCCTCAGAGGTTGTGAGGTCCTCACAACTTATGAGGATGCCTGCCATAGATGCGACCAGACCTCACAACCTCTGAGGACGCCTGCAGTAGATGCAACCAGACCTCACAACCTCAGAGGACGCCTCACAACTTCTGAGAATGCCTTCTGTTGATGCAGCCAGACCTCACAATCTCTGAGGATGCCTCACAACTTCTGAGAATGCCTGCTGTAGATGCAGCCAGACCTCACAACCTCTGAGGACACCTCACAGCTTCTGAGAATGGCTGCCATAGATGCAGCCAGACCTCACAACCTCTGAGGATGCCTCACAACTTCTAATGTCTGCCATAGATGCAACCAGACCTCACAATCTCTGAAGATGACTGCTGTAGATGCAGCCAGACCTCACAACCTCTAAGGATGCCTCACAACTTCTGAGAATGCCTGCCGTAGATGCAACCAGACCTTTCTGAGGATGTCTACTGTAGATGCAACCAGACCTCACAACCTCTGAGGACTCCTGCCATAGATGCAACCAGACCTCACAACCTCTGAAGATACTTGCCATAGATGCAACCAGAACTCACAATCTCTGAGGATGCCTGCCATTGTTGCAACCAGACCTCACAACCTCTGAGGATGCCTGCCATAGATGCCACCAGACCTCACAACCTCTGAGGATGCCTGCCATAGATGCCCCAGACCTCACAACCTCTGAGGATGCCTGCCATAGATGCCACCAGACCTCACAACCTTTGAAGATGCCTGCCATAGATGCAACCAGACCTCACAAGCTCTGAGGATGCCTGCCATAGATGCAACCAGACCTCACAACCTTTGAAGATGCCTGCCATAGATGCAACCAGACCTCAAAATCTCTGAGGATGTCTGCCATAGATGCAAGAAGACCTCACAACCTCTGAGGATGCCTGCCATTGATGCAACCAGACCTCACAACCGCTGAGTATGCCTGCCATAGATGCAGTGAAATGTCAGGAGGGAATGCTTCTGGAACATATCCATATAGCCCGGAAAACTTACAACAACCCAGTGATTCTGGCCATGAAAGCCTTCAACAATACAGTTTTCGCTTTTCCAAAAGTTCTTCTTCATACATCAAGAGAACCACTGACCGCATAGAGAAGCTGATGAAGAAACACAACCGTCAAACTATCTACAGACCCACTAAGAAAATCCAACAAATGCTATGCTCAGCAAAGAACAAGAGGCATCCTCTCACCTCTGTAGGAGTCTGCCATATACCATGCAGCTGCGGACAAGTCTACATAGGGATCACCAAAAGCAGCAGAATTGTGCAAACACGAATCAAGGAACACGAAAGGCACTGCAGACTAACTCAACTAGAGAAGTCTACCATAGCAGAGCACTTGATGATCCAACCTGGACACAGCATATTATTTCAGAACACAGAAATGCTGGACCACTCTGACAACCACCATGTCAGACAACACAGAGAAGCCATTGAAATCCACAAGTTTGTGAACAATTTCAACAGAAAGGAAGAAACCATGAAAATGAACAAAATCTGGCTACCAGTATTAAAAAAACCTCTAAAATCATAACAGTAAATAAAGAACAACACTAAAAAAACGGGAATTCCAGACAATAAACAACTAGGGCCAGTTAATCACCTCCCAACAAAGGATTCCCCCGAGGCAGTAAGAAGCCAGATCTTGAAACTGTTAAGCCATTAAATGCTAATCAAGGTGGGCAATTACGTCATTCATACCTATCACCAACAGACAGGAGTTCTTTCTCACAGCCTGGACTTTCCACAGATACTGTATATAAACCCCATTTTCCTAGTTTCCAACAGAACTCACAACCTCTGAGGATGCCTGCCATAGATGCCAGTGAAACATCAGGAGAGAATGCTCCTGGAACATGGCCATACAGCCCAGAAAACTCACAACAACCCAGTTCTTCTTCATGTTTAAGTGGAATCTCTTTCCTCCTTATTATGATGAAGCCAGTGGAGCTTCAAAAGCCTGCATGATGTATTTTTGGTTTGCCTAATAAAGGTACCGACTATTTAGTGGATTTGTGCACTGTCTTATTTCCACTGTGAGCTATTCTTGTATTGCCTCAAACATCTGCCCAATATTACAGACAGGATGCTGGACTAAATGTAAAACGTATTTGAGTGAGCTCATCAATGTGAATGTATCTAAGAACAATAAAAAAGTTCCTTCACATTATTCTGGCCCAAGAAAACAAGACCTCATGGGGCAAGACACACATTTTTATGGACTCACTTCAAACTGTTTGGTGGCATGAACTCTAATTTGTGGTAAGTGCAGTAAAAACATTTCTCACAATAGAAGATGGAGCTAACATTTCCTGGAAGAGATTAAGTGATTCAGTGGAAGGTTTTGTAAATGAAGTATACTCAGGAATTAAACCAACGATCTTTGTGCCACCCTTCATTTCTATGTGTAACATTTGAGAGTTGAATACTGCTATACATCATGTTCAATCACAGGAGAGACACCAAAAGTTTCATATGCTATATTTACATATGTTAATGCCTTCTTAACCACAATTATTAATGGTTAGTACAATTGATGCTGGATGTCATGGTTGTCTCACTTCAAAACCCATTTTTTCATGCTGTCATTCCTTGCATGAGTTGTATTTTTTACCATCTCAAGCCAACTAGAAAAGTATTAGTGAGTATAATGGAAGATGGGGGAGGGGGCAGACTTTTTTCAAAAAGGTCTAAAGAAGTGTGAAGTCTTACAATGTATGTCCTTGGGTTTGACTGGCTGATGTTGCCTTCATGCCACCTTGCCCAATGCTGAGGGATGATGGAGCTGAAGTCCAATAACTGCAAGTGCATTTTCTTCATTCCTGATTTAGTTGCCATAGAATCATTGAGTTTGAAGAGACCTTATAGGCCATCCAGTCCAACCCCAAGAAGCCGGACCATCTTGAGTTGTTAAACATTACTTCCAAGTCATACTTTCTTAATAAGAAACAATAGTTTTTCCCTCTGTTATACCAAAAAACCACCCCTTTTACAGCAGACTCAATATAATTTACGAAGTAGCAGAATTCAATGTTAGTCTGGATCAGTATGCAATGGGATGTTGTAGCATCCTTGACATTGAGAGAAAACAGTTGGCAGGCATAAGTTGTTGTAGAGTTCAGTCTACTTCATCAGATGCCTAGAATAAAGTGCCTCGAAACAGACTTTTATAGCTATGAATAAGAAGGTGTCAATAGCAATATAAACACAATACATGTGGATTTGATGTTGAAGTGATAAGTTCAGTTTTACCAATGAGCATAGGAGAGAAAGTTAGGAAGATAAATATTGCTTAAAGCCAAGGAGAGTAGATAACAATATGAATGGAAGAGAAGGCATTTGAAGTGGACCGAGAACCAGAAAGATCTGCAGCCAGCATTTCTTTTCTGAAGCCCTAAACGGCCCCGGCCCAGTTTACCTGTCCGAACACATCTCCCTTTACGAACTACCATGAAAACTAAGATCTTCTGGGGAGGCCCTGCTCTCGCTCCCGCCACCATCAGAGGCGCGTTTGGTGAGGACGAGAGAAAGGACCTTCTCAGTGATTGACCCCAGTTATGGAACTCCCTTTCTGGTGAGACTAGATCAGCTCCCTCCCTCCTGTCCTTCAGAAAGATGATAAAGACCTGGCTGTGGGCTCAAGCCTTTGGGGCAGTGCAATGAGCAATAATAGGAAACCTACTCTGCTGACCAGAGCCAGCATGGTGTCTTGAGATGGTTTTAAACAGATGGTTTTAAAGTAGATATGTGATTTTAATATTTCTGTATATTTGTAGTTTTATGTCTCGGCATTAAATGTTTGGCGTATATATATTGTGCTCTGCTGAGTTCCCTGCGGAGTGAGAAGGGTGGAATATAAATGTTTATAATAATAATAATAACAACAATAATAATAATACACCTATCTGTAGTATTACGGTTAAAGACAATAAACATTGACAAAATCACGATCTGTCAACTGCAAAAGGTCACCTTACTTGGATCTGCGCGCATCATTCGAAAATACATCACACAGTCCTAGACGCTTGGGAAGTGTTTGACTTGTGATTTTGTGATACGAAATTCAGCATATAGATCTCGTTTGCTGTGACATACTGTGCTTTTGTGTCAATAATAATAATAATAATAATAATAATAATAATAATAATAACAATAATAATAATACGTTTCCAGCCAGTATCACACTATATTCCAATAACTCTACACTATTGATAGTTATATATTCACCTTGGCTTTTAGGCAATATTTTTCCTCCTACATTGGTCCCCGAATAGCCATTGTTAAAACTGAACTTGTCACATCATCAACATATTCACAAATGATGCAATTCTATTTCTAACCATACATATTCACAAATAAAACCTGCTCATTTATAAAGGTCTGTTCCTATGCAATTCACTGTATGCACCCAATGAACTACACTTAAGGCTATGAAGCCTTATGCTACAAACTTCTTTCTTTCACTCTCAAAGATGTTACAAGATCCATTTGCACTGTTATTTACAAAGTTCTTGTCTAGTTGGGAAACAGTTTTGACATTTCATGATAAAACTGAACTCTTGGAATAAAGACATCTATTAAATATATCATACTAATCAAATATTGGTTGAAATGGAAATTAAAAAATTAAACAAGAGCCTTACAACCCTTTGATGTTTACTTTCCTTGGTTAAAAATATGGCTTTGTGTTCTGCATGCCACATACAGTACATGTAAAAGCCTGGGGACAGCTAAGCTTTGATAAAATGGCCTTG